AACAGGGCTTTCTGAATGGTAGCGATGCAATAAATAGCAGCTCCTCAAAGCTCCTGGGATCATATATATGTTGTCATTATTTTGTATATTTAGTTTTGCTGTACTTAAAAGCAGCATATTAAAATATGTCCGTTGGTTTCCAGTTTCATCGTTCCTACGGTTCTAGCAATTTCCAGGTCTGGATAAGTATGGACAGAAGAAGAGAGTGTATGGAAAAATATTTGTGTTTCTAGACAACTGCCCCGATTCTGTTTTCTAAAATTCAGAATTTCTAAAAATAATTTGATCATACAAGCAGAGTGTTTTTCGTGGTGTTTGGAGCAGGCAGCCAGCACTGCATTAGAGACTCATCGACTCTGATTGGTTGTTGTTGCCACGCCGCGGTCTAATTCTAGCAAAGGCCAATAGATGCGATAGGAAGAGGAGGAAGGGCATGATTTTTTTCACAGAATATCTGAGAGTTTCAGCAAATATGACAAAGTTAAGAACTTCAAGACCATTTATTTACATAATAAACATCTAGATATTTGTTCTCAGATGTCAGATATGGTCTGAAAAATCTACAGAGGTCTGGAAAACTGTGGAGTTTTAAAATGGACAATTTGAAGGAACCCTGTAGCTTCTACTTACCGCTTTTGTTCTTTACCAGTACAGTTTTGTCTGTGTGTCTGTGTGTCACATTGACTGTTTGCTCTCTGTGTTATTCTCTGAGCTGTCTCATATTTCTTTGAAAACACCGACTGTCGGACTTCTTTTAAAGTTGACACATACAGTTCTTGCTGACACGTATCGTACGGCATTCAACTTAATGTGACTCGCCACTGTAACTGCCCCGACTTCAAAGTAAAAGTCTTTTTCATGTGGTGTTTCTGCTCTTTGTTCTCCAGCTCTGTTTTTCTCTGTACGTGCGTGCGTGCGTGCGTGCGTGCGTGCGTGTGTGTGTGTCTGTGTGTGTGTGTGTGTGTATGTGAGTATCTGGGTGTTATATTTCCACCAAGTCCACGCCTCAGCCTGGACCTGAGGTCAGAGGTCTGATAACCTTTTACATTCCAAACCCTTTTTTCCTCTAATTCTCCATCTTTGACCTAAGTCTCTCTCCTCCCCTCATCCTTCACTTTATCTTTCGCCTCTAGACCGCTCCGGCCATTTTTATTCTGTACCTCTCCAAACAACAGCAATAATGGTGTGTTACTTTACGTCTTTAATGTGACCATGAATTATTTGGTCCGAAGCAGCCTGGAGGAAGGAGTTCTCTGCTTATGAAGGTCCACTGACAGAGCCAAACCTAAGATACATGATAAACAAAGAGAAAGGGAGCGAGGTGGAGAGGGAAGTGAATAGAAAGCATGCCTGTCAATCAAAGCCACTTAAGTACCTGGAGTCCTAGAGGGATTCCAGCAGCAATCGACCCCATTCAATAGCCTCTTCATTGATAAAAGCAGAGAGGAGGAGAAGAGACCGGCAAGGAGAATACAACACAGGAGAAAACTAGCATAGCACTCGTTACATGCATGTACTAATTTGCATTTATGCAATCTACTGAAAGGTTTAACATGTGCTGGTATGTTCATTGTGTGCCTGCACATCTTTGACAAAAGTGCAGTAGTGGAGATGAAGTGATACATTCCAGGTTCACATGGAAGAAAACAGGAAGACCTTGGTAGTTTGCATGAGCAGTGACATCTACCATGGCTGAAAGATAAAGAGTGCCACCTACTGAAACCATATCTTCAGAATCTACTTTAAAGAAGACCAAAGGGAAAAGAGGAGTGAAGATTTTGAAGACTCAAGTTTGAAACTAATTAACAAGCATGTTCACTGATAATATTTTGTGTGATATATCAGTAGCGATACCCAAAAATATGTGAGGTTTGTCCTGAGAGTGGAGCTGGAGACAGGGGCATCATAGTCAGGGGGGAAAGTAGGAGTGAGTGCCCAGGGCCCCAATGGGAGGGGCGCCCTCGAAAAGCCTGGAATGAAAGTTTGGTTTTGTTTGCAATTTTTATTTCTAAGTAATTAATGGCATAACTAAATTGAAATTGGCTAAATAAATTGGTTGAAAGATTGAACTTTGTATAAACAGTGGAAGCTCTCTGACGCCCCTCTCGCCCCCTCAAGGTGCAAAATGGTTAAGTCCACCCCTGCACTTTAGGATTCGTCTCTAAATGCTACTAGAGCTGAGTGAGCTACTGCTTACTCGAGATTCCAAGAAAGAAAGAATGCAGACTGACTTTGTGGAAAAAAATAAAATTCAAAAGGTGCATAAGGGAGAAATAGCTCAAGAGAAGAAGGGCAGGAGACAGAGACTGAAAATGTGTCTCAAATCACATACTTCCGTGAGTATACTTCTATGTAGTATACTATGTGCACTATGTACTCATTGGCGTAGTGAGTGAGTGAAATTTCTACAGGGCAGTGTTGTCTCAAACCAAACACGGCCGTTGTGCACTCACCGGAAATGACGACCGCAAATTAGCTAGTTAGCAAACTAGCATTAGCATTCGTGTTATCGTTTGCGGTACCAAATCATTACAGACTGCTAAATTAACCCAGTAAACATACTGCTGGCTTATACCCAACAACAGTATAGTGGTGCTTAGTGCAAAAAACATGTGTATTTGTACAATGCAGCGGCGTTCACGGTCGCACAGTCCTTGGCCGCTATTTCCAGTTTGAAAAGTGGTCCCTTTCCTTCTGCTATGTAGCCAATATGGTGACCATTGAGTGTGAGAAGAGTCCATAGTTCCACATTCAACTTTTTGACTGTTTTGAGTGCACCATCTAGGTACTCATAGTGCACTGCATTTTCCATACTTCTCAGTGTGAACACACTTGTGCACTCAAAATAGTAAGTGTAAGTACAGAANTTTGAAAAGCGGTCCCTATCCTTCCGCTACGTAGCCAAAATGGCGACCATTGAGTGTGAGAAGAGTCCATAGTTCCACACTCAACTTTTTGACTGTTTTGAGTGCACCATCTAGGTACTCATAGTGCACTGCATTTTCCATACTTCTCAGTGTGAACACACTTGTGCACTCAAAATAGTAAGTGTAAGTACAGAAATACGCGATTTGAGACACAGTGTGAGACTTTACGTAATAGTGCTTGAATGTATCCCAACGTAACTCAGTAGGGTGCTCCAGGATGCCCTGGTTCCCTCATCAGAAAATGAATGGGATTTTGTTTGCTCTGTGGCAAACAAACGTTTATGGCACTCCAAGATAATCTTCACAAATAAACACCACTTTTATGGTTTTTGGGGCCGAAATGCAATTGCTAGAAATAAAAAGCTGATGTTTTTAACGTATATACTGATGTATTTTATATCATAGAACAAAACATGAAAGTCTCTTAAGCTTGTGTTAACCACCGACCTTATTTCAGGCATTGAACCAAAAACCCATCCAAAAATACCCATTGATTTTGAGATGAGGGAACCTGTAGTGCTAACATTTTAACTCATTTCTGGGTTTTAAGACTCATTCCTGGGGCACTCTGTGCAACCTCCGTCAGCAGTTAGTTCCAGCCACTGAAAATAAAATTAATTGTCCCAATTTTTTTGCCATTAGTTTCGAACCCAGCTTTTTAGCCCACGCAAGAAAAAAAACATGGCAGCTGCACACAGTAAATGTCATCTTATTTGCCAACAAGGCAAACATCGGCCGACACTGATCTTCAGCCGGTGAATCAGGGCACCCCTGCTCTGCGAATTTAATGGCAAAGTGCCCAATATAAATTAATATATCTTTATTAAAAGTGGCACGTCTGTCCTGATTGTGACCCAAGAGGTAAGGTCAAGGGGTTACCAACATTTTGGGAATCTTCCTCACCTGTACAGCAGACATATTAGTACCTCAGGCTTTCAGTCATGAGTGTTCAACAAGGACCTAATGGAAATTCTACAATGCTGCAGACACAGCTGCTCTCTCTCCTGTACAAGAGAAAATGAAACATCGAGACAGAGCTTAAGTCAGAAAGGGAAGGTTTGTCAATATTTATTTCTCTCCCCTACTTGCACCAAAATTAGATAGTTTTTCTCCCACTTGGTTTGTACATCACCCGAAACTGAAATCTCTTATCTTTACCTGCAATCCAGCAGCTCTTCTCTCCCCTTCCTCCTATCATCATCCTCCAGCGGTGCATCTTCCCTCCATCCCTGTTCTTTAGCGTGTAGAGCAGCCGAGACAGTGATTGATCTGGCGTGGAGGCTGTCGTGGGCCCTCCTCCTCCTCCAGTGGTTATGAACATGAGGCGGGCTGCTCTTCATAGATTTTTAAATTAGTGTCAGCTTTGCCCCAAAGATGTGTTATTGACTGATGAAATAGAAACTGAGCTCCAAACACTCAGTCCTTCCCCAGAGTTTTCCCCAGCCTGGTAATTGAAAAAGTGTGAAGGGAGTGTGTTCAAGGGAGCGTGCAACTGTGTGTGTCTGTTCCTATGTTTGTGATTTTATGTGTTTGGGTGCTTGCAACTGTGCGCTCTTTATCTCTGCTGGAGAAAAATGCACAGTGCTCGCTGGAGTCAAGATTCGATTGAAGTATTGCATAGGAGATCTTTATCTTCTACACACCCACCCTGAAACACGAGTACTGTGTGCACCTTTAATCCTATAAATACAGTAGGCTTCATGTGAGCCTCTGAAGGCACAGTTAGTAAACTGAGCCCACGACATCGCACCTGAGTTGTTGCGTATCCTGTGTCTAAATTGTTATGTGTGTGCCAAGCTTTAAGTGTGATTTGTTTGAGCAAAGCTGGCATTGATTGTGGCTCTACTATGAAGTGCTGTGGGGGACGGTGACACACCTGGCTAGTTCAACAATGACGAGGCTTTTTTTACAGCCAAACTCTCATTTTTGTTACAGCTGAGGTCAAGACATCACTAAAAGACTTGCAAACTATAAAAATAAGACCCAACTTGTGCTAAATCATTGGCAAATGAATAGAAATCCTTCCTCACAGCTCTCCCCACTAACCCCCCTGTTGTGTCTTTTCCTCCGCAGGCTCCGACATGGCCATCTTTTGCCTGCTTTGTGGGAAGCGTTTCCAGACCCAGACAGCACTGCAGCAGCACATGGAAGTCCACGCCGGCGTTCGCAGCTACATTTGCAGTGAATGCAACCGGACTTTCCCCAGCCATACTGCACTCAAACGTCACCTACGCTCACACACAGGTCAGTGGAAGCACTCACTAACTGTCTCCGCTGCGGTGGTAAGGCCTAAAGGTCATCCATGATATAAATGGAAGCACTGGTGTGCTCCACAGAGGATTCGTTTTCGGCACATTCTCCAGCTCGTTCCAGGGAATCCCTCGACCTTCTCCTACCAGATCTGATGTGTAATCCTTGTGGTGTATTATGGGTAAGCCCATGGGTCTGCTCCCATTTTAACCCCAAATATCTGAACGAGCCTTTGGGAGACATCATTATCAGATGTTCAAACCACCACACCTCGTTCCCATTGACTTCAGGGTGCAGCGGCTCTTATTTTGCTCTTCACATGGAGTGTGAGCTTCTCTCTCTTCCCATAATGCTGAGCCAGACACCCAGTGAAGGAAACTTATGTCACCTGATCTCTTCCACAACTGAGTGGTAGCCACTATCCAGAGCTTAGACCACTGGTTCCCAACCTTGGGGTCCCAACCCCTACAAGGGGTCTCCAAAGCTTCACTGGGGGTCATGAGTCCTTCTTGATTTTAAGGGGTGTAGCATACATTAACAGTTGGCCTATATCTCAGCGTTTCATTCATTTTCATGAAAAAAAAAACTAAATGAAATTGTTGTTGAATTGATTGTATTTCACATTTTCACCAGTATCTTTCAACAACCTATTGGTGACGTCACTGGGATGTTTGTTTATGAGGAGCGCTGAGTATAAAACTAATCTCCAGACTAACTTAAGTCTTGATACAACAGAGTTTGGAAGTTTTGACGAGATACAAAAAAACACGGACACAGTTAAAAACCAACTGCCGATGCTTTTTGAGCCAGTAAGACCGCATATAGTTTAAAGACCTGTTCCCAGGGAGTTGGATTTTCTGCATCATGAAGCATCAGTAAAATAAATGAACAGTGTGACTCACCATCAGAACAGCTGTCGGGGTTGAGCATCACTTGAATTTGCCCTGTTTCCCTGTGTGTGTGTGTGTGTGTGTGTGTGTGTGTGTGTGTGTGTGTGTGTGCATGCGCGTGTGCTTAGATAGCTGGTGGTGCCAGTCCGGTTTTGCATTTGCGTGCCCATCTTTTTCTCTGTGTACATAATAGACTCTTATCCTTGACCACCAAGATCTTGCCAGTCTTCGGTAAAATTTTGGAAACAAAGAGCTCCCTCCTCAGTAACAGAATCGGCTCATGTCAGCTTCACCTTGGATCACAAACTAAATGTTTTATTCTGTTCAATCCTCAGTGCGTTCATAAAGCTGAAAACACACCTTTGCCACGCATCAAGTGCTCAGGTGTGGACAGCCCCTCATTGTCTTTTTAATGACGGGATCATGGGTCGTTCTGATTGGGATATTTCTCCACCTTAAAAACGTGACTCTCCTCATCCATTCTTCATCACACATGAGACCAGACGTTGCGCTGGACTTTTTTGTCGCCGGTCATTTTGACCGACAGGGTCATAAAAATCCGGTCATAATCTATTTTTACCGGTCATTTTAATTTTTGTTTTTAAATGATAATAAAGATATTCAAAGACATTTAGTTTTCATTTGTTCGTTTTTAATAAATCCAACAAGCAAGTTATAAAGTGTGCATTAATAAGGACATGAACGAAAAGATGAACAGACATCCACACACCGCAGCGCTTCAGTTCGGCGTCTGGTCTATTTTTCATGCGAGCCGTGAGCGCTTCTGTCAAGCTGGATAGAGCAGATCATACCAAACAGGAAGTCGGACACAGAAAAGACGAGGGAATCCGGCCAATTTTCAAAATAAAATAACAACAGCATGCAAGGAACGTGAGGAGAAAATACTGTGTTTATAATTTAAAATAACACAACAGTGCATAACCAAACACATTTTTCAATACCCTAATCACTTCGTTACAATTTTAATTTTGTGTCACTGAGCCTACAGACATAACTACATGAATTAAATGGTCAGAACAATATGCCCTATTCATTCAGTGTTTATCCAACATGTTCAGTACGTGGACATGCAATGACAAATTGTCATTAACTTATTACGTTATAAAAAACGATTAAAATATGGCCTTACCCATGTTTAAAATGACCTTTTGATGTGAAAAAATGAGTACTGACGGGACAGACGAGTGGAGTCGATGTTTAACCGGCGCGGAGAGTACAGGAGAAATGTGCTGCCTGTGTGGACAGTCAAGCGCCTGCGAGTATACTCGCAGGACTTCTGCGGCACTAACGCATCTGGTGTGTCCAGGCCGTTATGTCAACAACGCTACATGAAGCAGATGAATGACTTTTTCTCTGCAGTGTGAAAACGGCAGCCACTTAAACCACTGACTGTGCACTCTGCCGCCAAGTGGGCAGGGGTGGTAATTGCAACCGGTCAAAATGACCGACGGCCTTCAGATTTTCCGGTCATTGCTGTAAAAAACGGTCAATGACCGAGAATATGCGGTTAACGCGACCCCTGCATGAGACACAGCTAGAGTTATCTATGTACGTCCATGATGAGGAGAGGAGTCGAGCTGTCACAGGAGCAGAGGAAAGGAGCTGCTACAGGAGCTGATATGTACAAGCAGAGAGCGAGTTTGGGAAAACTGCATTTAATTCGGGCGGCAGTGAGGCTGGAAATAGAACAGTGGCGTGAATTGCCATGGGCGGCGCATTCAGTAGCATCAATGTGTGTCTAGCCGCTGCCGGGTTGTACATTGAATATAATAGGGATGTATTTTTTGAACAGCAGTGTTCACCACTGGTGTGTTTTGGTCTTTAGGCTCCTCAGTTTTGTATATCTACATAAGTAATACCAAACTCCAAGTCTTCCATCCAAACAGCAAGTCAGATGGACCACCACCAGGGGACACCAGCTATACGTGACTACGTGACTTTGTGTACATTATCAGAGAACAAAACAGCCATCATAGGACAACATGTGCTTTACACTACCAAGTTTACCTACCACAACAACAGTGACGTTGGTGATGTCACCAACCAGCTAGTTGAAAGATAGCTGCGCCCTGCTGGCAAAAAACACGAGGTACAATCTAGGTTGGTATCAAGTTTGATTACAGTGTCATATCTCTCCTAAGATAAAAATCGAATGAACCACAGTCATATACAGCCATACTGTTCAGTGTTTCAGCTCCTATATTAAGTTTAGATTATTATTCAAACTTTAAAAAAACAAACAAACAATAGGACAAGGACTGTGAAGACCTGAACGTAAACTATATTCTCAAAGCTTTCAGTCTCTGCCTGAACAGCCTCATCCTGCATTAGAAAAATACATAGTTAAAACAACCAAAGAGCTGATAGAACAATGGCCACGTGTTAGGGAAAGGCCTATTTCAAAAATGCATAATACATACAAGGAATCGTAAAAAACAAAGCAAAACAAAAAGATGCTAAAAATATCAGGAACACTAATTTCTGATGCAATATTTACAGAAAATAATCGGCTCGAAATGTACCCAAATTGCTTGTTTAACACAAACCTCCTGCAGCTATTGCATTCAATATTAATTGATTAGTTAATTGTACAGTTTATCAGTTGTTCTGTACTGTTATTGTTTTGCTTCGAAGATGAAATATCCATAAAATGTCACTTAATCAGGGGTCGTCAATTACAGACAAGGAAAAAAAAGGCTGGGAACCACAGGCTCAGACCACAGGTGAGGGTTGGATGGCTGAGTGACACATAAGGAGCCTTACTTTCAAGCTCAGCTTCCTCAAAGCCGTGATATTCCGATAAAATTATTAGTTACCTGTTAAAATATGGACTACATTTTGGAGAACTAACTAGGGTAGCAGGTAAGAATGATGACGAAAAATCCGATCCAAGTCATAAAAATGCCACATTTCCTTTTTTAATTTGCCATACTTGCTCGCCACTGCCACACCTACTAATAATTCATTCCTCCTGGAACAACCCAATTTACATCGGCGCCTCAGGTGCACCAGTGCAATGCTGCAGCAGCATCTCTGGTCAGGGAATTACTCAACTCCGTTGGTCATGCTCAAAAAAGAATTTGCAGTGAACTTGCATCATCGTTTGTGTCTGTCTGCCCCTTTATTCTCCAAAGAGCACACTTGAATTGATTCTGTTTCTACCAAACTGCTAATAGAGCGGAGCAGACAGTGCAGAAGGGATTCACATTGACGTCAAGGATTTGTAATAGAAACAGAAAAATTGAATGTTAAGTCACAGGCATCAGTGGCAGTTTAAATACTTTATTTCAGACGTTTTTAATCATTGAAACAATTTGAAAAGAGTTAGAACATTAATGTCTGAGTGGAGTATTAACTGCTGAGTTATACTGTAGATGAGCCACTTTAAGTTTTTTGGTAACATTTCAGGACGAACTCTCAGCACCTAAACTGTCAATGTTTTTGATATGCGTCCATATATTGAATGTAAACCTGTGATTAAAGGTTCTGCAGCTAACTTTTACAAAAACTAACATTTTGTCATATTCGATGAAACTATCAATTCTGCCAGTAGTATATGAGACAGTGAAAAAATAATGCTCCTCTGGCTCAACTTAGTGCTCCTAATGACATATGCAAGAATTCACTGTGCCTGAATAAAAACAGCCAATCAGAGGCAGGAGGATTAAACATCTGCAGACAGTCAAACTAGTCACACATAAAGCCTTAAATCTTGCTTTGTGTGTGTGTGTGTGTGTGTGTGTGTGCGTACAACTGTTGAGCTCAAATATAGCCATGAATTTCGACATATTTTGCTTGTAAATATCTTTGGACTGTCACATACAAAATCTCTCACCACCTCCCACCCCCGGGTGGTAGGGTAATAAATTAGCTGACAATTGAAAAAGTGAGTACTTTAAAGCCATAGTTGGAAAACACAGCAAAAAATCTTACACTCTGACCCAGGACGGGGGCTGTCGTGGACACAGAGGCATCGCAGTGGGGAAAACTGGGACATGCATACACTCTCCTTCAAAATAAAAGCACTACGTTGGTACAGCACAGCAAATTGACGTTTTTTTCCCTCAACAACAAACAGACATG